AAGTCCAGCATTTTGCTCCAAGAGCAACACCAAAAACATGTCGATCTTTTAAGGTAAAAACTTGTTAAAAAAAATCAAAAGATTGCGTTCAAATCACACCTCAGGGCCAGATCTTGGAGTTTGGCAAGAAAATTCCTTCTCACTTTGTCTGCCAGCTCCTGTTTCTCCATTTGATGAAAGCCAGTGTCGCGAACACTACCGTTAGCTTGATCATGCTCGAAAAGAATTCTGGGTAATTCCGTCATAACTCGAAAAGGCAACTGCTATCATTTCCATTTCAAAGAATGATTAGAATCGTGCCGGGCCATCCAGTCCTATCAGTAATATATCGCATCGATTGAAATTTTTACCGGTCAAAACTTGGCCACGTAGCCTTGTTAGGTCCTGGAAGCCATCCACAGATGGGCCCGAGAGACAACTTCACTTGTGAACTCGCCAAGCTGGCAGTAAAGCATCGTTGACGGTCCACTCTACATGAAACCATCTCTCACCTCTGTTTTCTTTCAGAGGCTTGCCTCTACCCACATTCCAGCTTAATGGTGCCGTCGTGAGGGCTTCTGTAGAGGGAAAATGGCACGAAAAACACTTATAAACGGCCAGAAATGCGAGAAACCGAATCGATTTGAACGCATCCAAACACTAACTGTTGATCTAGGTCAAGTGACCCCAAGGTCAGAGCCCATGGTGTCTCAAAACCGCAAATATTGTAACGGATGATCCATATAAGGACCAACGAAGTGAGGTTAAGTTTGTATCGCCAAATTACAACTGAATAAATATGGTCTATTTCGTATTCAAAGGGTTAACCAGCAGCTGCAAATCCGTGTATCTTATTAGTCCTTGACTTATTAGCGCTCTAAGTTTATTGCACGATCGTGCTGCGAATATTATCCTTGCAGCGATCGAAGGCTTCATTTCAAAGGTAGAAAAAAGGTAGCTACTAGAAATGCAGTTCTACGGTTAACATGTAGTGTCTTAAATAATTTAGGGGAAAGTTTCATGTACATTGAAAATAATCCTAAATACACTTACCGCATCTTATTAGAACATGATGATACAATTATTTCCTTCATTGCGATTCATTGCCTGTTTTGACCCACGATTTCATTAGATCCATCTATTTTCCAGTCTCAGGGTCATTCTGTTTTATGATACAAAACAAAGGAGTCTTTCTGAGATATTAAACGTTTTTCCCCCTGGTGCCGGTTTTTCATCAGATGCAGAAATAGAAGATAAAGCCACAAAGTCTGTCTCACATGGATATCAAGCTGGGCGTTTACAAAATCTGAACCGGATCGAATCGGATTGACAAAACCTAGACCGGATCGGACCGGATTGACAAAACCTGGATCGGATTTGCGTCCGATTGATAAAACCCGGACCGGGTCCGAAAAATCGGATCGCCATAAATTTCCCGCCTAAAAAGGGTCACGTAACATCTCATGATCAAGTTTTAGCATAGAAATACGACTGCCTTTTTTTCGCAGCTCAGTGAAGCAAAGTTGTAATGGTTCTCTTTCGTATAAGATATTCCGCAGGCGCCCCCACCACTATACTATGGGTATCGTTGTTTCGCCTAAATAGGCATAAAGAACTATAGAAAACAGACGAGGTAAGTTCACATACTTTATTAGTTTGAAAACTATACGTAATTATGCGATAAGAAACACATTTGTAGCCTTGCACACTGTATGATAGTATTTTTTTTAATTTATTTAAACATTATTGTAAATTACTGAACCATCATTGTAAATAGGTGCCGAAAAGCATGTTTAGGACTAAAGATTGTCATTATCATAACGAACATTTTGATAGAACGCTATTACGTACTCCATACACTGTTTTATTGAGCGCTCAAAATCGACGGTCGACACTGTAATGTAACACCGCTTTTCGCAACGCTGTTACTATGCGCCACTTGCATTGTAACACAACACCACTTTCCCGTCACGGTCACGTCCGCTCGTAATGAAAAAACTATAAGCTGTATTCACTGTTCGTTTGTACTGTATAACACCTACCAATAAGATCAGAATATAGGATATTAAAATTTTTCGGGTCCGGTCCAGGTTTTGTCAATCGGACGCAATCCGACCAGGTTTTGTCAATCCGGTCCGATCCGGTCTAGGTTTTGTCAATCCGATCCGATCCGATCCGATCCGATCCGATCCGATCCGATCCGGTCCTGGTTTTGAAAACGCCCAAGCAAGCTATATGAAGCGTCATGGTATCAAGCCAAAAAAGAATCAATTGATTTTACATACGAACGAACGAACAAAAGGAGACGAGATCGAAGAAGACTTAACGAACACCAAGTTATGTACTGACTGCTGTTATAATGCAAAGATACGAAATGGCGTTGCTATGCCAGTTCTCATCATATAAAATCATATTTAGGTGGGTGAAGTAAGTGTGCATAACACAATCCGTAACACAACACTGTTTTAGGGGGAGGGGTGGGGAGGGAGATGGAAGTGCTCAACCAAGTTGAACACAACCCGCATAAATATATAAAAGCCTCCAACACAATAGAGAAAAATCTTTCAAACATTCTCCGAACTGTGCACCATATTGGACAAAAAAAAACTGGAGAAAACGATTTCTGTGATATCAGCTCTACAACTGAGCTTTCAGAGGCAGAAATCCATGTGAAATCTTTAGATGGCAGACCCCTCTACAGGCCGTTGAAGTTGACCTTTATTTTACCTCTACAAAAAAAAGTGCCAAGAACCTTCTTTCAACGGGTCACTGTTCAGACTTAAACATGACAAGAAATTTCTATTTTAAAAACGAAAAAAGGACCATCTGCTAGCACACGATACAGTGATCATACAGACCGGCAATAATATTGCTCTCCAAAACTAGTTGACCAGCTGCTAGGCTTTTCTTGCTCAATTGATATTGTCACCGTTGTTGAATTTCCTTTTTTGCCTTCAAGAAAAAATTAAAAATTTAGCCTCCGCGGCTAATTTTCCATTCATGCTCATATTTAAAAGCATGTTCGTTTCTTAGTTTAACTGCAGAAAAAGCATATACACAAAAGATATGTCAGAGATAATGTTTGCCAAGGCTAAACTGTAAGAGTGGAATGTCCTTAAACCTCTTTCCAGTTCACATCCTCAGCATCTTTGTCACTCACCTTCATTACAATCTTTCCGCTTTCAAGTTGCCTCATTCAAGGGAGTGAGCCTTCCCACGTATATTACTTGGCAAAACTTGTCATGAAAAATTCTCTATACAAGTGCCAATTAGGTGAATATTGTCAAGGTAGACTTTACGTTGCAAGTGCCTTGATCGATCACAACCCGGAAAAAGTCCAACTTCAGTTCTAGTTGATTCATGTATCTTTAACTAATTCACCCGGCTCTTATTTACAGGCGCCGCCTAAAAACTCTTTATTCTCGTCTTCATTTTCAGACGGTGCTGCTGCTTCCAGTTCTTCCTCAAAAATTTTTTGGACGTCTTCTTCTCTTAATTCTTGTTCTTGCTCATGTTTGCTGATTTCAGTTACCCCGTGCATGCGCTTATATGTTTACGTTTCTTATTAGCCGCGAAGCATGAGTTACGCAGATGCGAACCATCCATGAGCTAAACTGGACAGGGAACCGTGTCTTGCTGTGCGCCGTGCAATCTTATACAAAGGACCACATTATTCACCTTAATCACGTTACTGCAGGTAGAGAGAGATCGAATCGTTCTCTGTTATAGATATAGAGGCAAGACCGATACCACGTAGATAAGTAAATTTTAAGACGGAGCACTATATTTCGGCTGGCCAAACCAGCCTTCTTCAAGTGCAGTGGGAATTAACAAAGAATTGGGGTGATGCTTCATAGATAGCTGTATGATGCAACAGCGGAAATATGTAAAACTAATTTGATTGACAATGAGATAACAATAAAAATAGAAATAGTGAGCAAAAATAGAAATGAAGTAAGGTAAATTGGATAAATAACTAGAAACTAACACATTTCTTCGCTAGCGTTAAGGCCATCTGGATAAATAGTGTTGCCTCTTGAAATTAAAAAAAGCTTCCCTGGCCTTGCTTATCGAGTCTCTCTTGGAAAACACTTTTTCGATGGCGATTAGCTCCATGTCGTGAGCAGAGTGGTTAGGAGAGGAAATGAAGTGTTCTGCCGCAGTAGTAGGTTTAGATTTAGAGTTAGGTTTATCAATGGTACGGCGGTATTCATTAAAACGGTCTTTTAAACGTCGTTTAGTTTCTCCTATGTATTGTAAGTTACAACGGTTACACTGAATTAAGTAGATAAGGTTTTTAGTGTCACAGATCAAGTGAGATTTAATGGGACGTGTTTCGCCGGTAGAAAAAAAGGTATAGTTAGTACCACAACGGAAAGAGCCGGGGGGGAGTTGAGGATGGGAAGTGGTAGAATTAGAAGGGAGTTTGGCTGTTACTAATGTGTCGCGAAGGTTGGGGGAGCGTCTGAAGGCGACTACTGGCAACTGAGGAAAAGCTTTTTTTGCAGCGGTTAGAAGACTGCAGTAGATGCCAGTGTTTTTTGATGATGTTGGAGATGTGAGGAAGCGACGAATTAAAAGTAGTTATAACTGGAAAACGGTTAGGTTTTTTTTACGTCTTTAGTTTGTAAGGTGAGTGTGCGGGAGATGTCAGCGGCGCGTTGTATTTGTTTGGTGACGAACTTATGGCTGTCACCTCGTTTGAGAAGGTATGAGGTAAGTTGAGCGGCGCGAGTCTCAAAAGCTTTATCTGTAGAACAGATACGTCGTAGGCGGAGTGCTAGACTGAACGGAATGGCTTTTTTGGTATGTAATGGATGGCAAGAAGAGTGCAATAGATACATATGTTTGTCTGTGGGTTTGGTGTAGAGGTCAGTGGAGATATTACTGTCGGTGGTTAAAGAGACACTTGCGTCAAGGAAAGCCACATTAGTGGAAGAGTGTGAGCTGGTGAATTTGATGGTGGGGTGGATATTGTTAAGATAATCGATGAAAATATTTAGGTTATCTAAACCTTCGGTCCAGACCATAAAGATATCGTCGATGTATCTAAACCAAGTGTGGGGTTTACATAGGGCATTTTGTTATCGCAACACAATTACATATTGCCACCTTAGGGGTAATATTTTGCCTTTAATTTTGTTACATTTTCACAGCTCGCGTGTCCTTAACGGTTTATAGTGTTTCAACTTCTTGTTATGCAAATTTTGTTATTTTCTTGGCGATAGACAATTGCATTTAGCAAGACAGCGAGAAGGTTGCTTCCGCCACTTGCAAGTTTGAAACAGAAAAAATTATTTAGTCAAAAATTTTTGTGGCTCAAATTAGACTGGGGAAACGTTTTAATTTGATGATCAAAAGCGCTTAGATTTTTGACGCACTTACTTCAAATTTTCTTGTAACTGAATATGCAACGAGGTTTCGAAATTATTCTGTTTTGAATATTTGAAGATTCGACATTCGTATCGTATCCAATGGAATCGAATGGAGTCGAATACGGCTACTTGAATTCTCTATTTCATGGACTCACCTACGTTTGAAATTGTGATATGCTTCGGCTAATGATATTTTCGATTTTCTAGAGTTGTTTCCGGCGCCAAGGAAGACAAGTTGTTGACGTCTGCATAATCATACACTCTTCTTTGCATGACAAAGTATTCTGTTCGCTTAATTACATGCAAACACTTCATAATATTTTAAACAAAAGGAGGACTTAAGCGAAAGCAGCCGGCCAATTTCTTCTTGACAGATGAGTTATTCCATATCAGCTTCCAAGGTATATCACTACTTAGCCTGCAAGCCGAATCTGCAATATTTACCATAGAATACTGAACAAGTTTATTACAGATTTCTCATATAGTTATACTTGGACTGACTGGGCAACATAGACAGCTTGTAAGATTGTACAACGGATTTCGTCCAAATAGGTACAATATCTGAAATATATAAGACTAACACATAAATACAATCTCCATAGGATTGCTGTATTGCAATGTGCGTTAGTCATTGAGAGAATCGGAAACATGCAGCAAAAGACTTTGTATAAGCAGCTTTGTCCTTTGGTACTTTTGGCATTGGTTGTACTTGTTCCACGAAATGTCGGAGGTGAGTTTATTCCCAGTTGACAAAATTAATTTCCATGAACCCACTGCATAGCGAATTTTCTCTCCCAAATAAAAGTTTCACGTTTCAAAACCTAGGTGCTCGCCGGGTTTGCATCCGTTTTGCGAAGTCGTTGTCTTGTGACAAGATGCTAAATGAAGTTACGATGAATATATGAAGTTCACATATTCATCCTATGTGATTTGTCATCACTGGTTTATTACGAATCAACTTAACGGCCTGCTCCCAGTTGGCTTGTTAGCTCAATTGGTAGAGCGCTGCACTAGTATCGCAGAGGTCAGTGGTTCGAATCCCGTACAGGCCTGATTTTTTTCAGGTCTGATTTTCGTTATTGCATGAAGAGCGCTCTCTACTGCGAGGATCGTGCATCATACGTATGCTAAATAAGTTGATAACTGCAAGCGGTAATATAAGAGAGACTTAATTACCGCATTACCTCACCAAGATCAAAGGACTTCAAACTCTACAAGAAAGCTACAATAGTTGTACATCGACAACCGTTTTCCTAAAGGCAGTGAACAGACTTTCGAAATTTCGGCTAGTTGAGACAAAACAAAGGTACGTACAGCGGACAGAAAAGTAGCTCGAGACAGAACGATTTTAAGCTGACGAGCTCACAACTTAAGTACGTAAGCAACATATATATGTACACAGTTTGCAAAGGTTTTTATTTTTACGCAGAGATCCTTGAATTTAAAGCTTGCTTTTTTCATCTCAAGGAGCAAAAATACGCTGATTCACCTAGTATTACGTAGGGAACCATGTTGGGTATTGTGGTGCCGACATTGTTTACATTTAAAGCTGACGTCATAAGAAAAGTGGATGATTTTTGTAAACAGTTTTTAAGTGAAACATGATATACTTTAGAGCATGCTAAGTAAACTCTGATTCTTTTTTAATGTTTGGGTTTTGCGTGACCAAGGAAAAGTCCAGTTGAGATCTAGCACTGAATGAAGCTATTGATTACAACCTGCCATTAACGAAATATCGCCAATCGTTTAATTATTTATAGTTGATTTGAAAATTCCGCTTTAACTGAAGCGTGCTTAATAATATTGGAACGAGAAAATTTTTTGTTCCACTTTATCTCAAAGTGGAATAACACCGCACACGGCCGTCGGTGCAATGAAAAATTAGAATAGAAACCTAAATTTATACCAACTAGTGCAATATATCTTTAGAGTTACCTTGTATGAGGAGCAAGTGATGTACTATCTGTTCTGATTTTTGTGTTAACAATTAAGATGCAAATATGCATCGGCATAAACAAGGGTTTTAAAAACCAGTATCGATTAAGGGCACCGCTTAGCATGGGAATAAATCGTTTAAAGAAAAAAATATGCGTGCGAATAGGAAAAACGGGTGCCAGGCACCTAGTTGCGCCTGGTTGTTCCTTGAACAAAAGATATCTTTTGTTTATCTTACATTTGAATTTTTTGTTCTTTAAGATTACGTAACGCGTTCTTGCCATCACGAAGAGCTTTTCAACCCTTTCTGTTTTATGAAATAAAACTCCAAGTTTGGATTGTTTGAATTATTCCGTGGTAACAAAACCTAAATTGAAGAAGCTTAATCCACTTTAATATTAGTCAGCCGATCCTGTTTGGAAGAACAACAAGTCCTGTCACATCTCAGCAGAAATTGTCGTCGTGTTGCTATGACTACGTAGCCCGAGGCATGATTGCTCGCATAATCTACAGTCTTTGATCAGTATATCTTATACATGTCTGAATTGTGTTTGTGAAATTTATATTATGAGAGAACCATCCTCGAATAGAACTTGTCTTGTTTCAAGAAATAGTCCATTATCCATAACATACAACATTGCCTCGTGTTAATTAGAAAAGGTTTTATCCATTTAGCTTAAATTTGGAAAAAAAAAAAAATGGTTAAAACTCTTGTCATGATCAGGGGTCAAGATTTCCATCAGGCCTCGAAAATTAATCGAAAGAAATTTCCAACTGCCTGAGGAGTACATTGCGTCTGTGAAAACTACATTCTTTTCTTTAAAAAAAAATGCAGTCTTGAGTGATACCTGTGTTTTGCATTGCAGGAACACTTGGTTGTCAGAGCGACCCAAGCCTCTACTTCATCGACGATCATAATATCAAATGTGCCCCTGTGAATTCTTTGCAAGAATCTAACCCTTCATTTCAAACGGTGGTCAAAAGCATTGCTGAAGGAGCAGGAATAGACATTGATGTGCGAAACAGAATGATCTATTGGAGTGACACCACGGCGTGGACCATAAACCGAATGAACTTGACCTCAGGGGAAGTAAAAGTCATTGTTAGGCAGAATGTGGGGGAGGTTTATTCCCTGGCTGTTGAATGGGAAAGCGGCTTGATCTACTGGACGGATTTTATCTATGAAAGGATAGAAGTAGCTAAACTTGATGGCAGCTCTAGGAAAACTCTTGTGACACAGAACGCGCGTTCACCTGTTGGAATTTCAGTCGATCCAGGAAGTGGGTGAGTAGTTACAGTCTCGAACCTGCTTTTCCTATTGCATCTTTATCCTTGGCAAGTTTTGTTAGGTACTGCAGGTTGAATAATTTGACAAGTCAACCAATATAAGACGTATTAGTCATGTTTTCAATAAGGAGGCTTGTTTGGGTAAAATTTTTGATGATGAAGTCGCTAAAGATGCTTGTCAAAGATTGTCATGGTGTTTTTGAGGTAAAATTGAAATCTGCGTTAGCACACATTAGCGGTTAAGTATCCTTGACACTTTAAATTTGAAAATTTCTTTGCTGAAATTTAAAATGAAAATGTTCACTCCGACAAACGCACTTGCTAAGGAAATTCTGTTCATACAAATCCAGCTTTCTGCCTACGAAAATTTTTAAGGTTTTAATCATTTACCTTTTTCACTGAATTGAGGTCAAACTTGAACTTTTACCGCAATTGTTACTAATGTCGCAATCTGATTGGCCAATTTGCCGTTGTCAACAGACAACGCTGCTCGTGTCAATGTGTCACGTAATGGTCATGCCTAGGAGAAACGGCTTTTATTTGACGTCAGTATTGCGGTAAAAAACGAATCGACAGTGGTTTAGTGGACAGAGCTGAATAATAAAATGCTACGTCAGCGGGTTGCGGTCAACAACGTGGGCTCAAGTGTCCTAGGTCTAAAATTTAGTGAAATTAGCGGAAAATAGTAATGGCTGACTTTTAAAACCGAGGAACTCTGTTTTCATCGAAGGCATTTTCCTATTTCCAGAGGTTTTAAAGAGAAAATTAATTTTTGAAACTTTTCTGGGGGTGTACCAAGTTTTTGGAGGTTGCTCTGTAAAAGAAAAGCGGCAAGGAAAATGACACCTCGAAGCAACTGAATAGGAAATCATTCATGCGAACGACTCAAAATCCGTGTTTCTGCGGCAAAATCTAGCGTATGCGTGCACGTTATTCAGCTCTGTCGGTTTAGTGTGGTCTGATTTCTTATCGACGACAATTTTATTCGCCATCACAATAGTCAAATCATCATAGAGAAACTGCAAATTATATCTCAGAGGTTCTTTTTTTCGGCAGATACATGGTATGGGTGGAGCACGATTATGCAACGAGAAAGATAATGCGTGCAGATTTAACTGGCGAAAATCCTCTGGAGTTACAAAAACTCTTTCATGGCCTGCCGTTTTACGTCATTATCAATCACAGCGATAATCGTGTGTACTGGACCGACATTCGTCTTTCATTTACCTTCATTGGGTCAATTGGAATTAATGGCAAGGGTTTCAAAGCAGAGAAATATCTTCATCCAAGTTACTTTCCGTTTGATTTGGCAATCTCTCAGAATACCTTTTATTGGGCTGACCAGAATTTGCATGGAGTCTCATGGTTCAATTTGCAGAGTTCATCTTCCAGAGTGGTGAATCGTCAAAATCTATCTCCTCATGACTTAATTGGAGTGACAATATCCGATTCATCAACTCAGCCAATAGGTACGTATGATGCACGATCCTATTCTATCTCAACCAATAGGTATTTGATAAGGATCTTTGAGCTTTAGTAGTCAGTGTTTGACTGAGACGCGGGTACGCATAATCTCATAACGTGTCATCATACTTCAGAAATGGTTTGAAGTCAGATTATGATGTAGAGTTTACACCAAAAGCACTTTGGGCAAATGTTTGGGGCAACATTTCAACCGGGATGAGGGCTCAACATCTTTCAAAACATTAAATCACTCTTTAGTATATCGATTATTTCTATCCTACCTATTGACTGACGTGAACGCAGTAAAATTGAATCAGTTTTCCAACACCAATTGATTTCTACCGAAAACTACTGATACGTCAGTAGGTCTTACAAGCTTCTCGTGTGCCTCGTTCGTTGCTTCAAAGCAACTTAGCGTTAAATCTATAAAGACGAGTGGCATTTCTAGGTCCTAAGCAAATTTCGTCTTTGACCGACTTTCATTGGCAAGTTTCTCTAAGAGAACATTAAAGAATATTCTAGGTGGCAATCATTTGACAAGATCTTCTCTCATGGAGAAAAGTTGTCAATTCAACAATGAAAAATATCAAGGGAACACTCGTCGGGAAAACTGAATGAAGTCCCATTTCGGCAGAAATGTGCACAAATTGATTTTACTCTCTATTTTCAGCGATCCAGGAAAATCCGTGTGTAGTTAATAATGGAAATTGCAGCGATTTATGCTTGTTAACCCCAGGAAGAGCAAGAAAGTGCGCATGCCCTGAAGGAGTTAAATTGAAGAATGACGGCATGACTTGTGAAAATGGTAAGCAAATCAGTATAATGGGGAAATGACTCAGATGAAAATACAAATGGTCAATGATAAACAAAGCTTAGACTAGAAAACACATATTACTTCTGCTGTTTACATTTCTCTGATCCCATTAAAATTTCAGAGTATAGACGCTATAAAGCCATGATGAGCCTGCACTCTGAACTTGTCACCGACTCATAGCACGTAACCTAGGTTAGATGCTTTTGATGACGTGACCAGTTATCTTTTGAATTCATAACTATGAAATCTTGTTTAAAACAAAAAGGAAATGTTGCGGCTTTATAATGAAAATCACTTTTACCATATCATACTATATTTCATAAAAAACGTTCAAACATTTACTCGTGATTTTTTTTTTTGAAGACGCGAATCTAATGAGAAATTATAACTATGCAGTGAATAGTTCGGGGAATTAATAGTGTATAGTAAGAGATAAATCAGTGGTGGAAAACCGAAGACGGCGATGAGAGTTTTAGGCGAAAGAATGATCAGTTTGCCATAGCGCTAATGGAAGAATCTGTTCGGTTCCCCAGAAACTGCGGCTGCAACAGTACCACCGCCCCTTCCAGGTATGTTCGCAATTCTTAACAGTACAAGCACATTTTAGTTGTGAAAACTAGAATTGGTAGTCAAAATATCCCTAACTTTACACAAAGTCCTTCTCACAGGAGCATTTCAGCGCACATTTTAGAATCAGGACTGAGTAGCATTGATGTCCCCAGGCTATCCATGCCGACCAATGAGAATTTAAGGAATTCGTTTAATGCACGGCAAGTGTTCTTCACTGCAGTATCAGGAAAATCAAAGGTTATTTTTTAAACCGTTTCGAACTAAGTTGGTGAAGTTAACCTTGTAAGATTTACGTACAGCTTCATGTTGTTTCTAGGGTCTTTCTCGTTCAGACAAGTTTTGATCAAAATATTGTGAAATGATTACTCCAAAAAGTTCCATCGATCGAAGCCAACATGATTAAAAACAGCAATGAACGCTAGAAAGTTAAAACTCACCACTTACAGATTTGTGTAACTTGAATCTCCAGCCATCCAAGTTCGCCTCAGGCCCCTGAGCGCCTCCGCGGAAGGCAGAGGCCGCGTTGAAATTCTCTACAACGGGGTTTGGGGAACAGTTTGTGACGATTACTGGGGCCTGGATGAAGCGCACGTTATCTGTCGCATGTTGAACTATTCGGGAGCAGAATTTGCACCGCGTAATGCATTCTTTGGCCGTGGACAACGTACCATGCCAATTCACCTAGACAATATTAAATGTCGAGGCGATGAGTCGACAATTGCTGCTTGTCGCCATAATGGTTGGGGCCAAAATGATTGTTACCATTCAGAAGACGCCGGTGTGATATGTTGGACCGACTCGGCTCCTCCTGTACAAGGTATGGAGCCAATTGTAGTGCAGCGTTCTCGCGATTGACAATTTCACTCTTTTCTTGGTCGTCTTATAAGGATTAGTTGCAAATGTTCTTATTTGTAATTGTAAGAATAGAATGTTTTGATACGCCAAAATTACAAGAGTTTATCAGGAGTCTGCAACTTCTGTGATTAAAAATGGCTTAGTTCCATTTCCTTCTGAGCGGTACCATTACATTTATGAACTATAAAAGCTCTAACTTTGTAATCTTCCAATTAGAGTCACACTAACAGTTAATCAGTGCGGATAAGGATATACTCGTTACCGAGCTTTGTTTCACAAGTAGAGTCAAGCTGTTCAAGTTCAGTACTCATATAATAAGAAGCCAAATATTTTATTTCACTTTGCAGAGCCAACTTTGGCCCCTGGACCCCATCCAGGTATTTGTCTCCTTTAGATTAATATTGTAAAGTTATTAGTTGATCACCGTTTCTTGTTCCACATAAAATTACCCTGTCTACCATCGAATGGCTTCGTTCTGGTGCCTTCTAATAAAGGCGATGAACGAGGGCAATGACATTGACGATAGTGGCAAGGACACCAAGATGATGACGGTAACTATGATGAATACGATAATCTGCAATGATCTGCCACTCAACGACACCAATAATATATATTTCCATTGATAACTGAAAAGAAATGGGAAGCCAAAAGTGGACCTTCATTCCTCATAATGTGCTGAAAGTAAACCGTTGAGTGTGACTCTCAAAATTGTATTCCTTTTGAGATTGATTATTATCAGTTCCTGGTTAAAGTCGATCACTAATCCGGCGCTCGAGGCTAGTTCGGTAGAATGATCCACACACCAAGTGACACAGACAAGTTCTGGTTAAAGCTTACACTTTCAGTTTAAAGTACTGCACCTGTAACTGACAAGAGTCTTCCGCGAGGCAAATGAAAAACGTTCACTGGTATCGAAATTAGTATGACGAATGTTGAGAAATGTAAAATTTAATATTTTTATGTTTCAAACAACAACAAACATATGAAACATATGTATGAACTGCGGTTATGAAACGTATATGTGCACGATCCTTCAGGTCCGATTTTCACTATTGCTCAAATAGTGCTTTACTGCGAAGGATCGTGCACATATACATTTTTATGTTTCCTTGTCTCATCGCAGAACTGAAAGTGCAATTACAAGGTGGAGACAGTCATTACAAGGGTAGAGTTGAAATTTACCTGAATGGGACCTGGGGGACAGTATGTGACGACTCTTGGGGAATCGAAGAAGCCAACGTTATTTGCCGAATGCTCAACTTCACGGAAGGAGCTGTTAGTGCGCAGTGTTGTGGATTCTATAATGGATATGGAGTTTCCGAAAAGATTTGGCTGGATGATGTCCATTGCGTTGGAAATGAAAATAGCATCGCGGAGTGTCGCCATGGCGGCTGGGGAAAACACAACTGCCGTCATTCAGAAGATGTAGGGGTCGTTTGCAAGCATGCGCCATTGTCAACACCAGGTAGGCATAGACTTTCTGTTTTTGGCTTTTTTTAATTTTCTCAGTCACTATTGTCTTTTCCTTTTTCCTTATCATTTCGAATTTTCCTTTTACTATACTTGAGTAGCAACGGCTCACTTGCTTGCCCACTAAATTATGGAAGGGACAATTTTCAATCCCGAAATCGCTTGTTTGTTAGCTGTACGGCTTCAATTCATCCAATCCGTTCCGTGACATCCAGATAAATTTCTAAGATTAGATTAAGGCAATTTCTTGTTGAGGAATAAGTTATTAGTAATACAGTATTTATAACCGTATAGTAAGACAAGGGACACCACTTGAGTGCACAAAGCATTATAACCACCATTTTGATAAGAGAGGGGCTTATATGCTCCCTCCTTCGTTTTCCGATATCCGTTTACAGTGTTCATTATTGTTTTCCATCAAGATCAAATGGTACGACTAGCAGATGGAGGTCGAGAGAGCGAAGGACGTGTGGAAGTATTCCACAATGGAGAGTGGGGAACGGTTTGTGATGACCACTGGGATATCGACGATGGAGATGTTGTATGCAAAATGCTGAATTACTCACGAGCGCTGCGAGCCCCCAAACAGGCTTTCTTCGGTCAAGGAAATGGTAAAATTTGGCTTGGCAATGTGAAATGTCGCGGAAATGAAACAGGTCTTTTGCAATGTGGACACCAGGGTTGGAATGTTGACCATTGTGATCACCATGAGGATGCATCAGTTATATGCGAAACTGAGGCACCGTATTTAGGTGAGTTAATTCTATGACACTCACAATTCATATGTTGAGTCAACCCAATTCATTTGATTTTACTTTCCACTGCCCTTTTTTCTCTGTCTGAGTTTTGTCGTGTTTTACATTTAGTTCTGTAGCCTTGTCTTATTAAAAATCATTGATCAACCAATTGCTAGAAACTAGAGCAAAAAACTTCGGATCATGAAGAATTGTTGTCAAATACGACAAGCCCCCTAAAAACTAGAAGATACTCCGTGAGGAAGGTTCACAGTTCGACTCCAAATGTTTCTTTTTTTCTTTTTTTCTTTTTTTCAGAATCCAAAAGTTTTATTCTTGCCTGTGGATTTGGACGCGATCTTCTTTATCATGTCCCTCTTGATAACGATCTGCCTGAAAAAGGTATACCCTTAGCAATAAAGACTAACAAACCACTGGCGGTAACCTATAACACAAAAGACAACATGGCGTACTGGACAGAACGGTCTGGATCTATCCTTCGTGCTTATTTGAACGGCAACTCCAGAGAAACATTACTAACAGGTCTTACGCGTCCCACAGCTATAGAAATAGACTACGTGGGTCATAATCTATACGTAGCAGATCAAAATGGCGTGACAGTATCGAAGCTTGATGGCTCATATCAGACCCTCTTGATCAACTTGACATCTTGCCATGGAATTGCTTTGGACACCGTGTCAGGGTAAGATCTCTTTTTTTATAATCTTCATTGCTTGCTCACATAAACATCATATCATTTCCTGTACTCTGATTGAAGTTTTCCTTCTAAATTTTTTTCTATCAGGCATATATATTTTACTGTGACTGGTGTTAGTCCAAGAATACTACGCGCAGACATGGATGGTAAAAATCTGCTTGTTTTAACCAATGTGTCTTCTCTAAGAGGAACCACATTGGACATAGCATTGGATAAGGTTAATAATCGACTTTACTACTCGGACGAAGGCAACAACTTAGTGAAGTATATCAATTTAACCAGTCGAATGCATCACGCTGTATTGTACAGTAATCCTCGCAGACCTGTTGGCCTTACTTTATTCAATGGAACCCTTTACTGGACCGGTGAAGGGACGGTGGAGTCGTTTAGTGGTGGCATTTATAAGGTTCAAACTGACACTTTGAATGGGGGCATTGTTCGTGAGGTTGTGGACCTTCTTTCGTATCCTAAAGGAATATATGCCCATGACATCCGAATGAAGATACCACCAGGTAGGGTCTTTATTAAAGGAAGTCTCGCCATGATCAATTTCTGTGACAAAAATAACGCTTCGTTTCAAGAAATGGTCTATTGTTCCGGCTCAAATTCACACTTTAAGTAGTAAACAATAGTCCTTTTGTTCTTTGTAGCGCTGAGGGACTTTGGACGAAGCGACGCGAAAAAGTTCGTGACTAATCGGAAAAAAAATTTTGGCATCACAATTAAGCTATTTGGGAAGAGTAGGTAGCGCATATTTGCACACGACAGGTAAATTGTCACCGGAGTACCCCAAGGGAAAATTAAACGCTGATTTAGCGGCTTCGGAGAAGTGGGTAGCGTAAATTTGTCTCGTCGAGTCAACTCTCAATGGTCTACCCCAGGAAAAAATTGACCGCTAATGTGGCAATGCACACATCGAGAATTCAAAATACGTTATGTGTCTCATTCAGACCACCTCACTCCGTATAAATCTTTCTCCAGAAACTGTCATAGTTCTAAACTAAAGTCTAGTCTTTCCGAGCGTTTAAATTTCCCGCTCGTATGCTAATCGGAAACTTCGACAAATCCCTCGTGTGTTCTAAAGCTGTTGCGCCATTGTTAAAAAATGGCCATATAGGGTCATTTTTCGCTTGTCTAACAAAGCCTATTGTTATCAAATTTGAGCCACTTTTCTTGATCTATAATTTTCGTTTTCGGCCATTGTCTGCTAAAGTGGATTATTGATCGATGGAGAAGGAGAGAAAGCAGAGAGGATGCAAAAAATAAGTTCACAGTTTACTCAAACACGAGTCGTGCAACACGAGAGAATTTGTGTCGGCTATCTTCGGTCAACTATTTTTGAGAAATTGTTTCAAGTGAGTTTTATCAATCGTAGAAGTTAGAAATTTATTAAACAAGTATCCTTTACGAACCCAGGTTTTCCTGAATACCTTCTACTGTGCACAGGAAAAGCGTTTCGTCGTGACACGAAATTTTGGGAACGGTAGTTAGTCAGTTAATTGATTGTGTTTTATTTGATCTAGATAAAAGTTGTAATACAAACTATTTTGCTTCTACATTACAAATGGAGGTCCCGTCTCCTGCAGGATTAGGGGTAGGAGACGTTAATTTCCCACGCACGAGATTACTGTGTGATGGATGTCCTCCCCTGGGGTGGGATGGGTGGGTTTGTTGGAGCTCAAACCTCGTAGGAGACCTATGTCCTATTGTTTCTGCTCCAGTACTTTTTACAAATCCTTGAATACTCAAATACTGTATTCTATTTTTACCTTCAGTCGATGACAGTCATCCTTGCGCTAGAAACAATGGCAGCTGTTCCCATCTTTGTTTGATAAACCCAACGGGCCACAGTTGCCTTTGTGTTGGAGCAGGTTCATGCCAGACATCTGTCAGCTCATTGGTCCTTGCTACAAGCAGTATGAATACGGTAACCACCACGTCCTTCTCCTCAGCGACACATGCTACTGCAAAATCAACAAAAATTCATACCTCAGTCTTAGTTTCTCCATCAACCTCATCTCCGATCTCCTCATCATCCACTTTGTCTCAACACGCCTCATTTTCTTCTTCTATGACCTACCGTTTGGTGACGAAACTCACAGCTTCGTCAACAGTCAACTTTCCTCCCTCACTAGTGGCTCCAACTGCAACACATGTTAGCCTTAAGCCTTCCCAAGCTCCGTCTGATATCTGCGCATCACAAAATCCTTGTGAAGATCGGGGTAGTTGCCAAGCTGATGTTGTCGAAGGCTACAAATGCGTTTGCTTGGATTATTTCTTTGGCCAACACTGTTCAATAGACATAAGTATGTTATTTCGTTTCGTGGTTCAATAGTTACAGTGACTTCTTTCGTAGCTTTCATTACAGAGAGAATGTGATCGCCTTGCAATAGAGTTTCATCTATCAAATAAGTAGGCTTCAAAGATATAAAACTATGAAAAAAAATTTGTACAATAACACTCTTACATGTTTTCCCTTCATTGCCTTTTCATTCCATTAACTTTTTTCTTGCTGCTCTCATAACAGCCGATAAAGCAACTCAGAGTGCATAGAGCAATTAAGAAACCGAAAAGCAGGGAGCAAGAAGGGGGAGGGGGGGTTGAGCGTTGGAAAGTAGTTTTTGTTGGAAATTTGAAAAGTATTTCATGAAAAATTTAACCAGTTGGGTCCCCGGATAAAGGAGTTCAATTTGTCTTCAACACCCATAACTTTTGTCATGAATATCTACAACGTTTCAATACAAAATCGTGTATATCTAGAGTCTTTGTAAAACTTATCGCTTGATATGCTAATTTTTTCTTTGTAGGTGGTGGAGTGGTGGTCCTTCTGATAAACATTCAAGGAAATGAGGTAAGGGGGGGAGTGGAGGGGCTACTACTTAATATGGATAAATAAAACTTAGGATGCACCCTCTCTCAGCAATCATTATAGGGAATAGAGAAGAAAGCGACAATAAAATTATTTGTAAGTTGGCTTATTGCAATCACATGCGCTCAATTTATCCAGATAATGAAATAACTGATTGAAACTTTCTTTCTTTCGAGAGCTTCAAAATGAAATATTATATAGCAAGCATGGGCCAAAAGAGTACAAAACTTGACTTTTTTTAAGAAATTTAATTTAAACGTATTGACTCCTTTCGTCAGTTCAACAAAACCGACCTGAAACAAGTCATCCTCCAAATCTTGAATCGTCAATGTGAAGATCCTGAAAGCGAACAGTGTCCAATAACACCATCAGGGTAAGCGAAACTGTTGTAGGCAAACCTATGCACTATGGTTTACAATAAACTGTTTTTATAACATAACCAAAGTAAAGCGCGCGCTCTGATTGGTCAATTTAGCGTCCCCCATTTGCCCATGGGTGTACGCTGCTGACGTGAGCAAATGCAAAGACTATTTTTCCGCGCGCGCTTGTTTTTTCTGGTCGCGTAAGATTTGTTAAATAAAAGGGAACTCTTTAGCTACAATGTATCAATGTTATGTTATAAAACAAATGGTAAACATCACAGCGTACACTATTGAGTTATGGATGCACTTGGGAGGTTTGCTAAGCACTCAAGAAGCTAGAGTTTACCATTTGTTAAATCATGCTGTCCTCATAAAGATTTACGAGAAATAAGTCGCAATTTCCCCTAGAGCAAGGCAGGTGTTTGTTCTGAAATTTCTTGTAGAGTAAATCATTTAATGTGAACAAGGCCAAAATGTTTAATTATCCAAACTAAGGGCTTGGCTTGGTCATACCCTAGGCTTGACAGTGACAGATCCTTTGAAGTTTTAAGGGTGGAAAAGCAGGAACAAACGCCACCAAATGATAGTTTCACAAATATGTCTGCTTAGGTAAAATTAAGAATCAAGAGAAAGATTTCAATAGCTTAAATGGCAAATTGTAAGCTTTAGCGGGGTTCTGCATCCATCTTATACGGGTGTCGAATTAGAGAAGTTTGTTAACTTTTTATTTTCCATTTTCTGCAGTGGAGCAAGAAGAAGACGAGCGATAGCTAAGACGACTTTTAGTCCTGAAGAGGTCATAGTAAAGGACCCGAAGCAAATCGATGAAAAACTACAAGTAGAACTAGCTGTCGTCAAACTGAGGCTTGGAGGTTCAGCATTTGTTGTATCCAGCGCAAATCTTAGCAAGATAATACAGGCTTCGGCGGCAGAGATCGGGCAGAGACTAGGGGGGAAGTTGCTAAGTGCTACGCCAAAATTCCCTGTACCAACAACTCATGCCACACAGTCCACCATGTCGGGTGATAAACACATGACGGTAACACAAGGACCACCAAAGGTCAGCACAACTATACCCGGAACAACAACTGGTCAGGTACCAGCTCGTCCGGGTTCTGCATCTGCCAATAAGGGAGGAGACGACGGTGGGGTTATCGGCGGTGTGGTGGTAGCTGCGCTCGTTATCATCATCTTGGTTATCGCACTGGCGGTCTGGTATTTCAGGTAATAACTTAAATATGCTTTCCTTAATTCAGACTATTAAAGATTAAAAACCAAAACCCTCAATGGTGAGCAACAAACGAAAAGTAACAGCCAGTAATTTTTTTGCTATTCATCTCAACTCAGAAGGAAAAAAGGCAGCACAGGTGAACCAAAGCAAAAACGATAAAAAAAAAAAAAAAAAAAAAAACACCATACACTCAGCTGCAAATTAGCGAACACTTGATTGGAGATCAAACACCAAACAAAAGTTCGGTCAAGTGACAGAGGTTGATCCATAATGTACAAATGAGAATTTCGGTTCTCTCTCCCTGTAAAAGTAAGAAAAACCTTACCCTGAAGACGATGTATCTGCGACAAAAACGATCGAAATGAGCATTTCAACTTCTATAGTAATGAAACCCGTGTAATATTTAAACGAAGGGTTTGTTTTGGGGCCTTCACCAATTAATCACTCTGAGGTGAAACCCTGTACGAAACAATGAGTTCAACGCAGTTGTATAGGTCGTTGCAATTCAAAAACGAATGACGTAAGCCGTAGCCAGAAACAATTAGTTGAAGCCTGTTAGTGAAAGAGGGCTAAAAAAATTGAAGTGTATCTAAAATGAAAATCAAATAGCACAATTTGTTTCTTTGAAATATTTCTAAATCTTGATTTAATTTTTTTTTCTCAATCAAAAGGGTAAAAATTCCTGGCCTTCCTTTTTCTTATAAAAGAAACCATGATGGTCCTGAGCCACGCGTAGCCGCGTTTGAGAATCCCGGATATGACAACGCAATAGGATTTGCGACACATGGTGAAAATCTGTACGACGATCTACCTCCACCGGTTGTTCTGTCCCCGTACGAGGATTTCAATGACTATGGCGCTGTAAGCAATCCCATTTACTCCGAATTTGGCGCCGACCGTGAAGGTTCGGTCAGGAAGTCTAATTTTGGTACAAGCTTGTTCAGCAGCAATGGTAAAGACACCGAGATCGGAGCGAATGATGCTAAGAAAAGCAATGAAAGTATTGCAGGAAATAAGATCTCTCTGGGAGATACCAGTTGGGTTAAAAAGAATCCTGATAGCAAGGAGACTGGTACAAACCAGGGGTATGAAAAGAAAGGCCAAACCGTGCTTGTCTTAGAGGACAGCAACGAGATTAACAAGGCGTCTGAGTTATGAAATGCACTGTTTTAAAAAATGCCGTGAAAAAAGTGGCAATGCTCGCCTAATTGAAAAAAGTTCTTTAAATGAATTCCATACATAATTATGGACTTCTTTACGATAAAATACCATAAAATCATTTTGCCAAACCACGCCCTTTCAGCAGTGTGTACCACAATTATAGCTAACTAGAACTTTGAGTAAAAGACAATCATTAGAAATGTTAATATAGAACAAGAATCGCAGAAGCGCTGTTTTCTCGTACAATAATGAATTGAAGGCTACCTTGAATTTTGTTGATGATATGTGGGAATGAAAACGCATGCGGATTTTAGTTCGTAAGTCAAACTTTGATTTTGCCAATAAAAAAAATCTACTAAATCTTTACTATCTGCAGTTTTTCATAAAGGTTATTTTAAGTTATGGTGATGCCCTTGTAGCTAAAAATATTGAAATGAAAGTTTCCGGTGAAATTCTAAATGTTTGAACCTCTCGGTAAGAAAGGACAATCGTTTAACTCATGACCGCTCGTAAAAACATAAACGCACAACTTGAATTGCAGCTTGTACTAAAGGCCAAACTTCCAAGACTTTTTGCTTCATTTCCACCGTAAAATCCAAGACAACTTTAGCCTAACCAAGGCCTGACTGTAATGCCCCAGTTTGCTGCCGCAACCCACCGAGTAAATAGTAATCTGCCTGACTGGCAATCGGCGATTGTACTATACAATGTATGGCTTTTCACGCGGTCAATAGCGTTGTAAACCCTCCCAGCGGGTTGGATGTCACGCAATACTCAAAGATAGCCAAAAGAGCGTGATGTTTTATATAATTAAACAGCACAAAACTTTGCCTTTTTTGCAACAGATTGAGTTTCGGAAGGATTGGTAATCGAAGTTCATTCATAAATAACGTAGCTGCCTAAACGTGATTCGATAATGCTCCTTTTAAATCGTATCCCACCGTCCCGAATTATTTACGAAAATATATTGAGCCTCTACTCAAATATAAATCAAATCATTTAGTTTCATATTTGCGTTTTCGTATATGCATCAGTCATGTTTTTGCCAAATAATGAGCAATTATTGGACTATGTTGAGCATGATATCATGAATAATCAAATCTAAGGTCTGAGTTATCTGCCGAAACCGAAGACTGAGACAAATAACAAAGACCAGAAGCTTGATAATTCCTGATATCATGCGAAAACCGAATTCAATAATTCTTTTATTAAATTTGAACCTGACATGATGAATGCAACTTTCTGTGCAGACATTGCATTTATCATGTCAACTTCAAACGCCATTTTATATTGATTGAATGTTCTCGACCACTGAGGAATGAAAAGTTTACAAGAATGAGCAAAACAGTTTCAAATACGTCTTGGTTTCAGACGCTTGCAGTGATGAAAATAATTTCTGGTCTAACAAAAAATATTTCAGTAGCACTCAGGGCTCAATATTCAATGAAAGCTACCTCAGAGCAAACTGATTTAGTCTTTCCCGATGTATAAAATTATTTTCGTAATTTCTGCTATCTGTCAATTCTCGTTTGAGAGCCTCAAACGAGAATTGAGAAAAATGTTAAAAATACAAAATATTGTAGCATCGAATAATAAACAACTATTGGATGAGATTTTTTTGATATCCGGAATAATCAAGGTCGAGGTGAGTGTTATCAGCCGAAGCCGAAGGCTGAGGGTAGCAACACTAACCGAGACCTTGATTATTCCGGATATCACAAAAACCGAATCCAACAATTGTTTTATTAGACATTGTTTTAAAGAAAATAACCCCAAACGCATTATCACAGCCAACACAGTTTATTTTCGAACACTTAAAATGTACAACTGTGTGGTAAAAAAAAAACCGAATCCAATAATTGTTTTATCATACATTGTTTTAAAGAAATTAGAACAGCTCCTCCGCCACTTTTGTCGATCTCTGGCTTTTAGTATTTTCTGAATCTTTATCCTCAAGTAATTTCTCAATTTCTTGCTGGGTCGATGAAGCGAATCGAGAAGCCATTCTTACTTCGCTGTCCGTGAACTTGACATTGCTCCACCGGAAATCATGCATTGCACGCGTAACCACTATTGTTGAGCCCACCACCATCTCCAGCACCACGTTTTGTGTCAGGAAAAGGTGACGGCGTGGACATATGCTTTTCTTTCCCATCATCATTCTTGTTGATTCCACCAAACCACTGCCCGTCTGTCTTCTTATTTGAGGGGTTTACGTGTATTTCATTGCTTTTTTCCAAATTCTTATTTTTCCAGCAACCAAGTGTGAAGTTGGTGGATTTCTTTCCTCTGTTACCTGTATTTTTATGACCCTTGATAAAGTTGTTTAGGTTTATTTCTTCGTTTCCGGAATTGATTTGATTCTCCACTTCGAAATTGTTCGCCTGAGGCTGCTCCGTAACCCCTATATGGTTTGTGCGGTTATCGTTTGGGTTACCATTTCTGGTGTCAACAGCTACATCTGGGATTTCTTCATAGGGGTTCTCTTGTTCCCTTCCGGCTTCCTCACTATCTCTCCCCTGGGCTTCCTGATTTCCCCGCCTACAGAGTAGACAAAGCTAGAAATGAGTCAATTAATCAAATTAACTATAGAGCTGACTCAATTAAAGTCCATATCGTTTACAATAGATATACAGGGGAATTGACACAGGAGAATATAAAAAGTCCGTTGAATGTTGAGGGTGTAAAGGAGAGAAAATTTTTTCCAGGAGCTTTGTTAGCTCCCTTCCATTAGTGGGTGACTGTTGCTGTTGTATATGACTATTTACACAATCATTTCTTAAATACGAAAGAAGAAATTATTGTTGCCGTGGAATAAAGCGGCAATTTCTAAAAAAAAAAAAAAAAAAATAAAAAAAAAAAAAAAAAAAAAAAAAAAAAAACACAACGAATTGAAATGGCGTTAAAAGACAAAATTGAAGAAATCAAGCAAGAATTTTCATTTTGCTTTTAAGTGTTCAGAAAATGAATGGAAATAAATATATTAGCAAAAGCCTTTCAGTTGAAAAACAAATAAGCAGATGATAGTTTTCTATTTCAATGGCGGTCTCATTTTGCAAGTAGAGTAATGTAATTGTTATCTTTTCCTAAGAGAAAATAGTTCATCTCTTTTAAATTTTAATTTCACACCTTCAACATCTATTTCTTTAAGGTGACCTTACGAGTAAGCAATTTGTACTTTCCATCTTCCGCACTGAATCTATAATCAACTGACTAGTCTGAATAAAACCTAGTCTTTTTGGGGACGGTACTTGTGTCTGCCCCTTCTTCCTCGAATTCTCTGTTTATTCTGTTGTTATGTAACAGCCTTCTAAGGCTATTTTCTCTCAAGATATCTTTCCAGGTATGATTCTAATTCTGCCAATAAGTTAATTATAATTTTATATTCAAACACAACGAATGTATGAAATTCATATATCTAAACTGCGCTTATAGAAACGTATTTGTGCACGATCCTTGCAGTAAAGAGCACTATTTAAGCAATAGTGAAAATCAGACCTGAAAAAATTCAGGCTTGTACGGGATTCGAACCATATTGTTTCTGTTTTGGCCGATCTTAACACAAAAGTATGAAGTTTTTTTTAGGTTGGAAGTCATTTTGTACAGCGCAAACAACTTGAAGGTGCATACTTAGTGTGCAAGAAGATTGACAGCTTAGTAGTGCCACCTTTAGTGTTGCCTTTATAAGCTGGTGAACAGCATTTTCAATTAGAATAGAATAGAATTGAATTGAGTAGAGTTGACAGTTGAGATCTGAGCTAATCCTGTTAGCAGCAACTTGTAATCAGGAATCAGAACACGAAATAATGAAGTATCCACTGAGTGTTAGTTAAAGTTGAACTGCAGAAGCACTGATCAGTGAAACGATATAATTTTATAAGTAAGTGAAGTCTACGGACGTGGACAAAAGCTACATTTATATATAATCATTTTCCTTAGGAAATAAATTTCAAATTTGACCGAATGGTGCGAAAAGATGAATGACTGAGTAATTAAAATAGAGAGTCATTAAGAAAAGTATTATTGTACCTGCGCCGCCGAATTTTTTTGCCAGCAATAACGATAACCACCCAGAGAATGATTCCACTGCTTATTCCTGCTATTATTGAGGCAATGGTCTTTTCATTGCGGTTCTCCTTGTTTCCCGTAACATCACAAAATTGTTCGAATGATGGAGGTTTACTATTTACATAGACAACCTTGTAACCACCTAAGTGTTTGCTGATATAGTAGACACTCTTTTGTACAACATAATCCAAAGTGTTGTTTTTCACAACCGAACGGGTTGAATTGGATTGGGTTTGAAGAATAAGTGAAAAAACCACTTTAGTTTGATTTAAAACTAAAAACTCTCCAGGTTTCTTTAGGACCCTGATCTGAACTGAACCGGCGTTGGAGTCATTTGGAAAGGTGCTGCATAATTTCCCTGCAATGGTTGTATTTCTGTTGAGAAACAAAGGACATCGTAGTGTTATATACGCCTTTGGCTAAAGAATGATCATGTGGCGTTGCACTTTGCATTATCCTCTTGTTTCACACTCAGGTGCTCTAAGTCTCAACAGTCAAGCAATGACAGTCAGTCTATCAAAGCCACTGTGTTAGGTTCCCCCCGACCTCTGGTCATGGGTGACAGTCTCTTGCGTCCATATGGGAAATAACTTAATGCTTCCCTATTTCTTATCGTGAATGGTGCATTCGCTCTGTTGGGCGTGCCCTCACACGTTGGGTTCCTATAGCTATCTCTATATTAAGAACATTTCAAACTACAATAGTAATAAACTAAAATGCAAATAGACGTAATACCTTGAATTGTAACTGCATGCATCCTCATAGCAGTAGTCTCTTATCCCTTTCACGACTGCTTGTTTAAATTTCTCTTCCTCCCACTGATGAACATATATTTGAAGACGAAAGGGAACAGATTCTTTTATCGAATTATTCTATAGAAACATTACATCATTAATACTTCAACCTTAAGTCAGCTGGCAAACGCGTTGACTAATTCTGCTTAAGAGTATTGTAGTTAACCGATCAAGCCTGGAGCAATTAGGCTAAAATTGCTTCGCAAAGCCAAAAAAGGCCTCTCACATGATGACTTTTGGAACGCCCCCAGCAAATCGTTCATATATTTAAGAATGTTTATATAGTTGCAATGGCCAGTGCTACATGTAGTGTTATCAAAGAAGTCGGAAAGGGCAGACAATTGTGTCCGAACGAAAGCATTAGGCACTTGATCCCCTCCCTCCCTCCATAAAACTCTGTACTATTCTCATAGCCCCCCCCCGGTCATTGGCAGTTTATTGGAAGTCAATTTTCTATAGTCCCCTCCCCTTTTATAATTTGATGGCGACGACTGATTCTCCTCCCGTTCCTCCTGAAAACTATGTCACTGCCCCCTCCCCAAAAATTCCTCCGCCCTTCTTCCTCCCTCCGCCCGGCGATAAATTATGCTTGGTCCTTAGGTATGAAACGATCGCATAATTCGAAAAATTTAAGCTGAAAATTTTTAAATACCTCTTCCATTTTCATTTCCAAGGTAATGCTGACTGCTACCAGATCTATTTAAAAATAAATTTGATTTCGTTAAACTGGTGAACGGATAACTTTCCGGAGAATGCAGAGTTATAAATGACGGCTCAAAAACGATTGTTTTCCTTTTGCATTTTCTGATAAAATAGTTATTTATCGACTTTAAGTGGCTTTGAGTGCTACTGAAAGAGTCCTGCGATACTTGTGACCGAAGGTCTATAGCTGTTGTTCATTACAGCTTTTTAAAATGTGTGCCATGAAACATTCCTCTGTAAATGTAAAGCACATTTTCTTGAGATGATTGAAAAAATAACTTGAGATGATTGAAAAATCAAAATTGCTCCACATTTACATTGTAAAAAAATTTTAAAGCCAATTTCGAAGAAGGAAAAACAAGAAACGTGTTCTACTTACTTAAGGGTTGCCTTGATCCATCTAATACAGTAATTCCAAGTATTTCTGGGAAAGACAAGTCGAGTTTTCCAAGATATTTCAGGCTTTTTTTGTCCACCAACCTAATTGTCTTTGCTGTATTATCAGACAAGTACAAGGTTTCATTGTGAAGTGCTATAGCGAACAAAATACTGTTCGTTAAGTTTTTTGATAGTTTTCGATTGCGTCCGTCCAGATCAGCTCTGCCGACCACACCCAGACCAGCATCGACCCAATAAATTACGCTTTCTGGGTCAGCATAGTCTACTATTACACCATTTACCCACTTCAAGGGGGTGCTGGAGCTCGCTTCCACAATGATGACTCTTTCCTTCCCATCTAAGGTGGCTCTTTCAATTTTAGGATTTGACCCCCAATCTGACCAGAAGATGTACCTGTAAGATTTGATTAATCAATTCTACGTTATTCCTCTTGAAAACGATTGGCTGGCTTTTCTTGCTAAGAGGCAATTGCGTTTCCAGATGAGTAATCCTCTCTTCCTTTTAGGGTCACGTTGGTAGTCACGTGAGACGTCCTTATTTTAACCATTTGTTTCCGCACAGACTTCTTAAGGTGGTACAACCCTCAAAAAATCAACATTTTTTCATGTTTTTTTACAAAAAGTTATCTATATCACCTAAATTGACACATGGAGACAACTGTATTTTTGCAGTTTTTGACTTGATATTTTATTATTGCTGCTGAGAATTAGCAAATGATGCCCCCCGGTGGGCAACCAAACAAGAACAGTCATAACTCTTTAACATTAGATTAAAAATTCACAAAATTTTTAGACAATGATCTTTACATGCACCTGCATGCAATGAACTACAGAAACACCTCTCAGTCATATAGAATGGAAAATATTAAAGAAAACACAACAACTTTCAGGAATTGATAAGATGAGCAATCTCATTTTGGTCATTTAACAACAAAAGATGCACCTAAGTGTATGTTTCTAGTTCATTGCATGCAAAAATATACTGAGATCTCTCACTCCAAAAATGAGAAGAATTGAATAAAACGCTGGAAAGTTATCTTTGCTAGCGTGTCGGTAGTTTCATAAAATTCGAAATTGAGAGAAAACTGGTTTAAAGTTTTTAAACTGATTTTTTCAAGACTTGAACACAGTTTCCATGAATTGAATTGTTCAAAACTGACCAGGGCCATAGCTGACTCCTTCAGTTTGCTTATTATGGTCATCTTTTCGTTTTTTAAGGCCCCTAATCACTTTGCGTCGCTTCTTGGTAGTAGCTTTGCTTTTATGTTGCGCAATATTAACTCTAAGCTGGTCTTGGAGTCTGCAACCCTCCTCGGTATATTTGCCAGAAGGAATACCAAGGGCTTGGAAAAGCTTAATAATACTCATTGAACCAATATTAAAATAAGAAACAGCATCATAAAGTCCTAATTCTAATGTCTCCCTTCCAACATAAATTTCTTTTGGAATCCTTTGCCATACCATGCCATTCAAAGACTCATTTTGATTTTGTGTCTTGCCATGTAAGCACTTCTGCAATAAGTTGTTCTCACTAAGTCGAATATATTCAGGCTTTAGCTTGGCAATAACAGGTAAAGGAAGGCCAGGTCCATGCTTAAAGAGATTCGTATGGTTGGCTTTGTCCTTTTGATACTTGCACCAACTTGCACTACCTGTTGGGCAGTGGTCATGAAGTGGGCGTGCCTCACTTGAGGCACAATGCATGAGGCTAGCATGGATAGCTTTCTTCATTCCAGCCAAATTTCCAACATTGCACCTTATGGCAATGCCATAATAGTTCTGCAGTTTATCAATTAGACTATCTGTGAGTTTCCCTCTGCCTCCAAGGCCTGGATTGTCACGTTTTAATTTGCGAAGTGCAGTTCCAACCCTCTTCTGCACATGACCAATGCATTCTTTCTTTTCCACTAAAATTCCAGCATCTTGATAAATATTCTTTATCCTGGAAAAACTCTTGCTGTCCCCATCCCCATAAAATTCAGTGTACCTGAGATTGTGCAGCTCAACAGACCTTTGAAATATGCGCTCTGCACCCTCTGGTTCCATAGCAGGTGCTGATCCCTGGAAATTTGACTTGCAAGTGGTGTGATCAGCTCTCCACATCTGATATTCGAGAGAATTCTTGTCCATTTGTTCATGCCGCTCACACTGTTTGCATCCTTGGCTTAGGGCCTCCACATCAAGAACCTTTCCTGTGTCCATAGATATGACAGTCACACAACCATTGCGTGACGAGTAGCCTCTCTTTTGCCATGTTCCGTCACAAGAAACACCACAGTTCACAGGTAGACCTTCAGAAGAATTTACATCCTTCTTGAGAGATAAAACTTCTTCTCCTGCCTTTTTCATTGTTTCCTTTGCAATCGCTTTCATGTGACGGCCGATTACGCGCGAGTTGCTGAGGAAAGCTTTCTCATTTGGAGGTGGAGGCATGTTCATAATTGTGCAGAATTTCCTTGCACCAGCATAACCCTTTCCAAGAGTTCTCATACCATAAACGATTCGCCGATTTACTTCAAAACTCTTTCCTTGCTTTTTTGATGTGCAAAATGAATGTTTCCATCCACACTGCTCGCACAGCAAACGCAAAGTTGACGCACATCCCTTCCGTTTCAAATTATCTTCCATAAACAAAAGACTGAAATCGCCGCATTCGCCACAACGTAGCAAAGAAAAAACGGACGATAGCACCTCCATATCACAGAACCTGAACCCTGTAATGGATGGACTGGTTTCCTCTTTATCTACCTTGATCAGCTTAGGCTTGGGTTTGTCTTCTTGGGAAGTTGATTGAAGCTTTCGATACGAAGCCGAAGATTCCTTCGCTTCGCTCTGATCATGTGAAATGCCGTCTGTGGATTCACGTATCCCACTCGAAGCGCTTTCGACAACAATCGACTCTTCTTCGTTAATTCTTGGACTATTTGAAAAGCGATTTCCATAAAATTTGCGCTTCTTGCGTCTCTGAGACGAAAATTTCGGCATTTTGATGATTGAAGCTCTCTCACTTGCGAAAATTCACAACTGAATGATTGATAATAACGGCTGTTCACCGAAATATATCAAAACGAGGCTGAAAGTCATTGTTGGGCCCCAGTCTCCCAATAGCTTACTCAAGACGCAATCAGCTTGCTTTGATCTGGGAGGAAATCGCACTTTTAGGCCCTAAAAGGACGCATTTAAAAATGCGTTTCCATGGCAACGGAACAACAGTGCCTTAGAAATTGCATTTTATTACTATTTCCTGACAAATTATTCACAAAAAGACATTTGGGGCTATTAAACAAAAGCCTTTAGAAGTGAAATCGAATGGAAAAAAAATAGACTCATTTTCAACAAAAATTGCATTTTTTTTTGTATCGTACCACCTTAAGCAAAAGTTAGATTGCTGAGCAGCTTTTTTACGCCATTAGAGCAAGTTGTACAAACGTGTAACAAGAAACGTGATTCACCAGTCACCATTGAAAGCAATGAAGGCCCCACTGAAAACTGCTTTGGCGAGTTGGGCTCTCTCGTTAAATATAATAATAATAATAATAATAATAATAATAATAATTATTATTATTATTATTATTATTAATGGAAATACTATTCTGTGAAGCGTTAAGAACAACGCTTAATTATTAATTTGAACACAGACACACACAAAATTTTTTTAAAAAATGGTCTATCCTGAGTGGCACAATTAGACATTTCTTAGTTATATTGAATTTCTCAGTTTATGAGTTTTGATTTCAATTCTTTAAGTACATATGACTTCCCTTTACTCACCCATTGACCAAATCAACAGCAATACCTCGAGGCTGGTCAATGTCTCTATCAAACAGTATCTTTCTGTCACTTCCGTCAACCTTTGCCTTTTCTATTCGGTTGTTGGTTGTGTCTGTCCAAAAGATGTCTTTATCAATCCAGTCTATGGCTATTCCTTCCACTTTACCGACACTTTCCGCTACGTTTTCTTTTTTGTTCGTTTGAAGATTCATTCTTTTGATAGTACCAATCCCAAAATCACTCCAATAGATAAAGTTGTCTTCCACGTCCACTGCAATGGCAAAAACCCGTCCAATGTCTTGCACTACAACAGTAGAAGTGGTTGGCCCAACGGACAGCTTGATACTATTTATGGTATTCCCAACGCTAAAGTACAAGCACGGCCCTAAAGTACAAGCTGTGAGGAGAAAAGAATAGTTAATCAAAAAATTCCACAAGATGACGAGTGAATGAGAAGGAGTACAGTAGAGAAAAAAATGAAATTATTAACCTCCGCCTGATCAAATCAGGTGATTCTACAAAAATGAAAAGGTCAAATGGAAATTTTTTCTGTAGTTTACTCGACAATTAACATGCAAACAATAATGTGGTAAATGGATCAACTGTTATTAAATTTGACTAGTGTAACTGTATTGTTATATATGTATTGTAAGTAGTGTAAGTTAATGTAGTTTAAACATGGTGTAAAAAGTAATTATAGTGTAAGTACATGTGTAAGTGTAATAAACAATGCTGTATTAAAAAAAAAAAAAAAAAAAAAAAAAAAAAAAAAAAAAAAAAAA